TTCACCAATACCGCCACAATAGTCATCATCCACGCCACTTCCAGCTGCGTGTTATTAATTCAATCATTCTCTCAAACCAAAACCAGAACACCGCCGTACTTCGTGTGCTGTCTTCGTCCGTCTTTCTTCCAAACAAAGGCGAAATCACGAAGCCTCTCCTCCTCTCCCCACCTCTTTAGATTTTCGTCGTTCATGTTTTGGTCATCTGCGGATCTCCTACATGAGTCTTCTCTTGTGTGCACTTGAAAAAAACGACACTAACTTGGCTCTAGAAATGTACACGTATTTTGTTACTTTCTTCTCTCTCCTCTCTACACCGACGTATGGCTTGAGCCACTTTCGGCTACCGCGAATGTTCGTGTTTTCAAATGACTTACTCCTCACAGACTAGCGCACGAATAATTTGTTTTCGATTTCTGAGGTTTAATACGCACGCTGTAACGGTGGGCTCTTATCCAAACCCAGAGTGTTTATAGTCGTGCTTATCTAGAAACAGCCGCCTATTTGGCCTGCGATGTAGGCCATTAGTTCATAAATACTGATTTATTCGTCGTACTCTCATTACGGGTACAAGTTAAAAACCCAGACACGCGTTTCACCGACTTCGTAGCTCTCAGTGACACAAATAGGAGGCTCTGCCTTGTGATTTTTGGGTGTATGCTCTGGTTCCTAGTGTTATGCCTTTTAGAGCTTAGTATGAGCTCGAGGCAAATTCTTCGACACAAACAGCAGATTCTCTCTGGAAGTGGATATGAATATTTGCGTGAGGCTTTCGACTAGTACCTTTGTGGGAAATGTGATAAGTCAGTCAATATTCCTGTACTACCGACTGTCCGTCAACGGAATGCGAATACTACGCGGTCCGTCTGCTGGTAGATTTCAGCGCGTTGGTAGCTGCTGCAACAAGCTACTTGCCTCATCCCACGTCGTGCAGCCCCGCTCTAGAGACCTGCCGTCGATTTTGATGATTCTGGGCAGCAGTATGATGACCGAAAGTTATTGGATGGCTCGTGAGAGTGGGCTGCAAGCGTTTTTTACGTAACGATGGGGCCTGTTGTGCTCAGGTCCCCAGTGTTCGAATCTCTCTTTGGTGAGTGTTCGCTGAGGCTGCTTCCACTCACCTTTGGGGCTTCTGCCCAGGTCTTTGGTGCGTTCGTGCTGCACGTTTTAACCCCTATACGTCCTCGTAAATAACAGCTTTAATTATCTGACTAACTTCCCGCACCATTACGGGGTCGAAATTAATTCCGTTTTGGACGTGGGATGGCGTTTCCTGTCACTCCTGCTCTTTTCTTCATCTTGCACAGGAGCATGAGTCGGTCGGCCCACCTATGCGCGCTCTCTGTCACGTGGGTAGTCAGCCTTGAATGTTGTAGGTGATCCGCTGCGCGCTCTGGTGTGAAAATGAGACGAGGGTAGCGTGATCTGTGCCCTGCTGGGTGGTGGCGTGAGCAGTGGTGTGACCGGTGGCGGCGGCGCAACAGCCGCCGTGTGCGGGAAGTAGAATGCCGTTTGATCCGCCCCCCCACCGCACACACCCCTTACCTGCCCCTCCTCCGTCTTCACACTCAGCGGGGGCGTGTGGCTGCCATCTGCGGAGTAGTCATCGTGGACCACGCTGCTCAAGAAGCCTTCAAAGGGCATGAGGAGGTCAACTAGTTATGCGGACTCACATAAAACAAGTAGGCGCCATTTAAGGAAGTGTAGGAGGCTTGCCGATTTCCCAATTGAGGCCAGATCTGAGGAAGTCATCGCCGACAAAGAGAACGGGGGACTGTGAGAGTCGTTTTGGGTTAATTTGCTGTTCTCAGCGCTCGCCCGCGAAGTCGCCAGGCGTCAAGGTAAATACGAACGGTTGTTTATGACAGTGGGCGCTCGCCGATCAGGTTACGGAACATGCTCGTTCCGTTGTGCCTTGGGGCTCATACTTAAACCCTCGCAGGCAGTCGCACAGCGACTAGTAGTAGACATAGATGAGATGATACCGACAAAGACAAGGGAGACCGGAATGGCCATTTCTGGCTTATTAGCCGTCATCAGCCAGTCATACCCAAGGCACAACGGAACGAGCATGTTCCGTAACCTGATCGGCGAGCGCCCACTGTCATAATTAATATTCCCGATCACAACCGACAGGACAACGGGCCCGTGGCTCAATGGTAGAGCGTTCAACTCCATGACCAAAGATCCCGGGTTCGAATCTCAAGTGATCCACACTTGGGGTTGGGTATGACTGGCTGATGACGGCTAATAAGCCAGAAATGGCCATTCCGGTCTCCCTTGTCTTTGTCGGTATCATCTCATCTACGAACGGTTGTGTTTCATCCTTCCATCAGGTCAGACCAATAAACGTCACTCATACCTGAGTGCTGCTCGCATACTGACGGGCGGAGCAGGTCGTTTAAGGTGGCACGTGTTGTTTCGACCCTTTAATTGACGTCTCTCATTTAGAATGCAGTTCTTCTATCGAACCCCCCCTGATGACGATCATTACCCCGAGGACAGTGAGGTTTATGCATGAAATGAATTAAAGTGAGGGGGCAGACTTGTGTGGCGTCGAACTCACTCTTCATTCCAACACCAAGGCAATGATAATGAGGTTGGTTACGTGTTCAGAAGTAATGGTTGGTCTAACGTGGAACCGCGTTAATGTCTGTTGGTTCCTACTGACTGACCGAACCCGACTGCGCGCAAAACTCCAGAGGCTGGGCGGACGACCCTAGACTAGTCCTCGTCCAGTTTCGTCCGTTAGTCGAATCAGTCACGAGAACGCTGAAAGCTGGGGCCCAGATCAGGTCGGAATGAAGTGGTCATCTTCGGTTTGGGTGGGTCTACCAACTCGTTAATTTGATTGCCATCTTCCTGGGCTCCAGTTTGGCTAATGAAAGCAAACACAGACGCCAGGTGTCTTGGGGGCAGTCTAAGACCACTTTTTGTCTATTCAACTTGTGGAATTTGCTAGACTCCAGCGGGCACAATAGGGCGGACTGGACTCTGCTGCATAATCCGATGCTACAATATAGCCCTGGAGCACAAAACAGATTCGAGCAGCTGACCAGTCAGGAATTTAATCCGCTACTTACGACCCAGCGCAAACTGTCGAGAGCGGAGCAAGCTGAATGGCAATGCATATCTTCCCACAAAAAACTGGTCGTGTGCTGCCACTCCACACTATAGACGGAGGTAAAGCAATAGGTCAGTAGGTCAGTATATTTTAAGGGTAATAGGCAATGCCTTTGAAAATCCTATTGTAAACGGTACATGCAATGTGTAACTTTAAATAAACACGGCAGTTTGACCGGCGCGAACGACGATGTCCACCGTGCACCCCAGAGCGCTGTTAACGAAGGGACAGTAATTTTTACGTGACATAGTTTACAGTGACAGCAGACTTACGCTGCATCTACCGCACTCTCTCCTCTTACTCCCCACCTGGATCAGGTGTTAAGACATGGTCAAGAAGATTGGAGATTGACACAGTGACGGACGAGGCGAGACACCCCGTCTGTGAGTGCCACACAGGCCTGGTTTCCTCTATATGGACCAGGTTTCCACCGAAAGAGCAGCCCGGATTCCATATGAGTGGGAGTGCCATTGAAACCGCACTAAGAAGGAGTCGTTGCAGCCTGACTACTCGTATTGAGAGGAGGGCCGAGTTATCCGACCAGTTGGCAGTCTTCGAAGCCACAGTTTCTGGTGCACTGTGATAGTTTAAAGGCGGGTCAGCTTGTTTATGGTGAGGAGTATGCAACGAGTATCGTGGTGACGCGGTTCCCAGAGGCTACCTCACCCTCTCTTCCCTCTCCTATGTACCAGTCGACTGTGTGGGTCAGTCAACCATCTGGTGTGATGATTGAGCGCAGGTGGCTGGCGTGACGTAAGCCCACGCCTAGGCATGCCACCACACACTCCACCACGTGTGTGGCCGAGTAACGCGCGCCGTGCCATTATCTGACATCCGGCACTGGTTCGCTGGTCATTGTGCGACGGATTAGCAGGTAGAGCAACATTACCGACAAAGACGAGGGAAGCTGGAATGGCCATTTCTGGCTTATTAGTCGTCGTCAGCCAGTCGTACCCAATCCCGAAGTGTGGAACACCTGGGGCTCGATCCGACGACCTGTTATTTAGGAGTCCAACGCTCTTAACTACTGAGCCACGGGCTCGTTGCCCCGTCAGTTGCAATCGGGAATGTACAATGGTAGAGGGGCGCTCACCGATTGTGTTACGGAACTCACTCGTCCCGTTGTACCTGGAGGCTCTCTCTCGAGCCCAACCAGCAGCCGCACAGCGGGCTCGAGAGAGAGAGAGCACCGGTGCAAAACGGGACGAGTGAGTTCCGTAACATAATCGGATTACGTCCATAATCGATCCTTACAATGGTAGTGCCAGGTTTATCACGTGGTCCAACTGCTTAGAGTTCTGGTTTCCTCCTCCGTATTGCAGCGGCCTCTGCAAAGCGCAAGAGACACCCGGTCGTCGCCCGAAACAGGACCTTGAATGCAACCATTGGGTCCACCGTATGACCCGTGTCCACTTGGTGCTTTGTGATTGAGCTCCTGGGTACCTTATTTTCCGCCTTAAGCAGCCACTTTGGCATGTGTTCAGCTGACCGAGCTGCCAACTGCCTTTGCGTGCGCCCAATGTACTTGCATCCGCAACTACATGTAAACTCATAAATACAGTTTGATGTGGCGTGCATAGGCAAAATATCTTTAGCTGGTCTAACTGGGATGGCGGTTGTGGTGCTTATGAACAACAATTTAGAGGCGGCATACGTCCTTTCGATAGTGCACTGAAGTCGTCGCTTGATCACGTTTGTCACGTTATCACCCTTGAAGGGGAGGTAGATGGTCACGGACTTTTTAGGTACAGATATTTCTTCAGGAGTTTCTTGTCTGGGATGGCGATATTTATCGATGAATTTCTCCGGATACCCGTTTGCAAGAAAAACGTTCTTTAGGAAAGTAAGCTCGTTATCGATTGCATCTGAGGAGCAGATTCTGGTGGCTCTGATCGGGTTAGCAAGTGACCGACCAGACCGATGCGTGAGATGAGTATGCAATTGCAATGAGGAGAGGTTGTGACTGAGTCCACTTCGCTGGAAGTAGGAATAATGAGGGTGGTGGTTGACGGAACGTCAGGAGTGTTTTGGCTGGTGATCGGAGTGGGAGCTGTGGTGGTCGTCGTGGCCGAAAAGGTTGTACCAGGGATGATGAAGATGGCGGTGGTCGGCGACGGCGAGAAGGCACCGGAATTGTGATCACCGGTAGTTAGGGTTTTCATTGTTGTGGACACCATGAGAATTGGAGCAGGGCCGGTCGGAGAGGCAACAGTTGGAATTGTCGGGCTGTTGATGCACTGAATTCGGAAATGTTCGATGAGGCCTATTCGTTCGTGGAATGTTTGTTGACAGGGCGGACATGCTGGGAGAGGTTGAACATTGGTGTTGCAGGCTATTGACACCTGAGACTTGCGAACTTCTTTTTTTGCTTTGTCAACGAAAGACACACGCATTGATTTATTCACCGTAGTATTAGCCCGGGTATTTGCTAATAGCTCGAGCAGAAGACCATTGTAAGATTCCAGCGTAATGTGGTATCGACCAGAAGAGAATATGAGACAGCATCATCAGAAGATAGTTTGTGAAGTCCAGGTAGAAAATGTAAATAAACCCGAAGCCTGGACGGCGGCAGTACAGGCATCTGTAAATCGCCAAATCAAAGGTTGTGAAATATGGTAACACCCGAAACGTCAGCTGTGATGAATTAGCCTGAGAAATTTATCGAAAATCGATCCTGTATGAAAAGAGAATGAACAAGTGGAAGACAGGATGTCAAAACGCATTTAGAAAAAGACCAAAGACAGAATTGGTTGGTGGTTACAGCCGAAAAATGCAGTGAACTATTTGCTAAGTAGAAGGAGGTGGAGAGATGGAGGGGGCGAAGGAGGAAAGTGAGGCAGCGTGTTGGCATGGCGAAGGAAACGCAGGAGTACAGTCAAACAGTCTTGCTACCGCGTAAAAGAAGACGAAGGAGGAGTAAGAAATGTAGAGTCAGACGGGGAAAGCCAAACAAACAGTTCGCATGAGATTTTATTTAGATGGAGTTTATGGGCATTTGTAGAAGAAAATTGATGGCGCCCCGCTCGGTAGAGTCTTCTTTCCTCGTAGATAATGGCGCTGTGGTTGTTTCTAAATGCATTTATGCAGACATTGTCCCCCTACAAGGAGCCACAAAGGAGTTCTGCTGGACCAACTAAGGGGGAGGGAGGGGGGAGCAGATCAGGGTCCGGCAGGTGTAACTGAGTCGAGAAACCATAACAAATGCAATACAGAGGGGTGGCGGCAAGCCTAGAAACGGGCTCACGCCTCGTCAACCACCTGCGCCCTCTCCCGCCCCGGGCCTCCCTTACCCTGATTTGACACGGGGAGCAGATGAGAGAAGAGGAGAGTGTGCGATGGATATAGCTCAAGTCCACCACAGGCACCACCACCACAGGCATCACAGGCACCACCACAGGCACCACCACCACAGGCATCACAGGCACCACCACAGGCACCACCACAGGCACCACCACCACCACCACCACCACCACCACCACCACCACCACCACCACCACCACCACCACCACTGGTACCAATATAAACTGATTCGCGCGCGTCACTGTCCACGCGCCCACGCTGACATGGGGCACACGATGGACATCGTCGGCAACGATGGCTTCAATGTGGATGAGCAGATAGACCCCCAACTCCTTCAGACCTCAACTGTTCGGATCCAGCAATGTGTGCATCCAGTTCAACCATCATTACTAAATGCTGAAAGTGGTTGAAGCGTCGAATCAGCGCAATTGACTGGGCAACATCTTGAGACATTGGGATTTCTTGCGGCCCTTAGATCATCCGAAGAAGCATTGACGACAGAACCGGTCGGTTCTTTATCAATCCCCAGCCACCAGGAGTCAAAAAATCACAATTGCCCATTAAGTAAAGTCAAGTTGCAAGCGATCCAATTGTGAGAACCTTAGAGGTTCCGTAGGATTATAACAGATACTTTAGTAAAACCCCGGCTCTAATCATCTACACGAGTCTTAAACCTTGTGTTTTTTACATCTAGACTCCCCGCAGCGCAGGTGATTGCAGCGCTAGTAGTAATGAAGCCTTAGCCTATTCGTCATGGGTTCCAATTCCACCAAGGTCTCCGATTTTCTCCAAATTTTATTTTTGGCCAAAGTGTCCGACTTCGGACTCTGACCTGGTCACCGCCTGTTTCGCAATTTGTCAGGGAAATTATTCAAATACGGCTAGAAGCGTCATCGAATAACTGAGTTTAATAGTCTTCGGTCGGGGTTCACAAACGTTGCGTTTGGCAACCGGCTTGGGCAGTCAGCCCACCGTACTAGCATTGGTGGATTGCATACGTGGTAATAAGCTGAGCGGACAAGTTGAACGAAATAAAAAGAAGTCAGGACTCTCAGTCGGACCTTGTAACTCAGGTGGTTAGAGTGCTGGTTGTGCTAAAGCCTTAGCACTTCTATCGCAGGTCCGAACCATGCTGAGGTCGCTGAATACTTCCACAGTAACTAATCTATCACATGAAATGTTCGCCGAAATTATGAAATGTGTTTTCACTTAAAAAGGATAACTTAGGCGATGTTGTAATACTGCTTATCATACCGTAAGGTCTACATGTATCCCAGTCGCGCCAAGATGCGCCTCTTTCCGGTCGTTTGCATCAAATATGACTACTTAAGTAGTGTTTTTTTTCCAATTTTTTCAGTGTCTATGTAAATTCAAACATTTGTTGTAGAGGACATGCACAGAAATATTGTCCTTTATACTCATTTGGCAGAAAAGTAGGTCTTTTCACACTTTTCCTACTTGAAGAAAGGGCAAGATTTTGTGTTAAAAAGCGTATGAAAGAGAAATCATCAATGATCGCAAGATGTCCATTCGTACAGCATCGTATCTATACGCTTAAATATGCGGCTTATTAAGTATGCAAAGGGATCCGCATCCGCAAAAAAAATTTACAAGCTCTGCGTGTCTTCTTCTTAGTAACATAGAGAAATGTATGATTTCACTTATACGGAAAGTATACAGCAAGTTGTTAGGAGACACTGAACGTACGTGTGGCAACCGACCGGGTTCAAAATTAGTTGGACAAAGCGTTTTTAAAACCTGACGACACCCTTTTGCAGGCATAAAATTTGAAGAAATACTTTGTTACCCAGTGAGTGCAAAGGTGATATTTTTATGCCTGTCTTTTATAACATATATTCAAATTAATAGCGCTCTGAAGTTCAATGAAAAAACATACTAATCAGATGGCAGTTATTGCCGAATGTGGTTTTTATATGCGGCCGGACAGAGGCTCATTGAAACGCCGGCACCCTGGCCTGACTGAAGTATTTTTGGATTATTTTTCAGGACAACTGAGAGTACAATCCCACGTAAGTAACCCTTTCTAATCAAAACGTATTGCGGGCTTTCGGTGAACATTTCATGAGATAGGTCAGCTACTGCATTTGAGGAAGACCTTTTGAGAGCCAAAACTCACTGAAATATAGTCCACTTGCATAGAATGTCTGATGTCATCACCCTGGGTTCCTGCTGTGCGTTTGGCAAAATCTCCCCTTAAATGGTGCTTTTACAACCTTGTCAGTTGGGTGAGTATCGGTGGGGTTTCAGAAACACTTGCTACTCATCAATTTTAAAGGACGTCTTTTCACCCCCAGGGAAAGGCATCTGGTTCACCAGCACCTCTGCTGATTACCATCCCTATGGGGACCGCATTCTCGGAAATACTAATAGTCTGCTGATCAGAATTTTCGGCTAGAATGCAGTTAGTGACCAGGCCCCGTATTACAGTTGGCTTGGGTTTTATTTACTGGGGCTTTTTTGCAGGGCTACATAATCACATCTGACCCATTTGGCTTCCGTTTTACGTTTGAGGTTAGGATTAGGGTACCGGTCAGTGGTGCCGGATTTTCGGGTCACGGTTATGCCCCTTAGGCCTAGGTTTTCGGTTTACGGCTAGGGTTTGAGTTTACTACTAGGTTTCAGTGTTACGGTTAGGTTTTATAGTTAGCTCTATGTCCAAGGGCTATGGTTACGTCTACGAGTTCGGTTAGGGTTAGGGTTAGCGTTAGGGTGAGCGGTTAACATTTAAGTTTAAGGTTAGAATTAGGGTTAAGGTTAGGATTAGGGTTAAGGTCGCCGTCCGCTTCCTCATTCCTGGCTACCAATTGCGATCTAGCCTAATTGTCTGCCACTCATTAATTGCCTTCGTACAGCGAAATCGTCTAGCAATCAAACAGGCGAATCTTGCTGTGCATTTTTAAAATCAAAAACAATTAGGAAGTCTGATGAGTGAATGAACGTGCGTCCTGCTGCGAAAAGGCATTTATTTTGAGGGCAGTGGCCTGATTGGCAAGTAGTGTGTCTTCTCTTCACATAACCGATTCTACAATGCTTCTCAGAAAAAAGCTATGGTGAGCACAGCCCTCTTGATCACTGAATTGCCTGGGACGAGGGTGATCGCATACCAACGCCCGTTCCCCCCCCTTGGCGCCCAGGGTCCTCCACCGGGGAGAGGGAAAGCAGATGCTGAACATTATATCCAACAACAGGCTGCTGAATTAAGCGTGGGAAACTTGTACTAGAATTAATTGTCTCAAGACCACGAGCCATGCAGCTCAACAACAACAACCTCAAGGTCGGGAAGAAAGAAATCACGTTCCTCTTCAAGTGAACTCGAGATCCCGTGGTGCGCGTGATGCAGGAAATCATCTGCAGACCCTGTGGCCCAAAGTCACGTCTCAGTGTCCGACTGCCGCCCCCTCCCCTCTTCTCAGGCCTTCCCTGCATCACAAACAAAACGGAACACATTTGAAGCGAAAAATCAAGCTACAGCTACGCTCTTGGCGGAACCCTCTGCATTCGCCATATACTAGTAGTCTGGTCGCATCTCCCTTGCCCCCTCCTCGGCTGTACTCTAAGCTGACTGTAACCTATCGCATCCGGGTTCCTATCGCCTCGAGACTGGTTTTCTATTCACCACTTTGACATGAATGACCTCATCCGGCATAGGAATTCTGCCTTGATGATGCCCGTTCAATACCACATACAGGCCAGTCCTGTCTGACCCGCCTATCTACCCCCTCATGAAATCCGTTATGCACTGCCACATACAAGCCGATCCTGCCTGCTTTATATACATTCAGGAGCGAGAGTTTTTTCTCCTATAGTGTTAATCCAGTCATGCTCATTTTGTTTATATGTCAAGAGTTTTTTTCGCTGCTCCCTCATCATTTGTCGCAACATACTATTTATTCAATAACTAGGAATTAAGTATTGTTTAGATTCTGTATACCTGTTCTAAAATTCTAAAATTCATGTAAAGTTATTCTTAGCTGCTATGAACGGATCCCCACGGGTCTTGAATAAAAATTATTATTAATATTATTGCTTTAAGTAGAACCGTGCAGCAGTGTGTACGCGACCTCTCTGCTGCTCACGCAGTCCTGGAAGGATGCGGGGCGGTAAACTGGTGGCAGTGGCCCTTCAGTTGTTGTGTGTGTGTGTGTGTGTGTTGGGCTGCTGCTGTTGCCAGTCGCAGTGTGTGCGTGTTCGCGCTAGTATTAGCGCCTATGCGTGTACTACCGTGTGTGTGACCTCCCACGCAAGTGGGAAGTCCGCATCTCGACTCGGTCCCCATGCGGCTTCGGCTGCAGGGGTGACTTGAGTCCGAGACTATCCCGACACGTCAAACGTCGTGAATAGGAAGGTTTCTGATTGACGCCCGCTCTCGGTCCACGCAGTTCGTCACGTTGTGTGTGTGTGTGTTGTGTGTAGTGGCGGACTGGTGGGCTGGGGACGGGCTGAAACAGCACCTTCCACAGCCCTCTCACGCAAGTGAGAGACACGCCGTTCAACCCCCGTTGTGTGAAATCCTGTTGTTGTGTGTATGGGGGGTCAGGTCGTGCCGTGGAGCGCGCAGTCATGGTCAGTCGACCATGACAGCCACCGCGCCCATTCCCCACTCCAGTCTGCTGACCGGCTCGGCACTCTCAATACAGTGTGGGATCCGAACCAGGCGTTGGCGGCACGCCCAGGTTCGGCTTCGGCCGTGCCAGCCTCCAAATCTCTGTCGCGTTGGTTGAAATCCTGGTTATTTGTTGTGTGGACCAGGGGGTGTGGTGGAACGCCAAGGTGAGGATCCGTCCGAGCCATCCACCTGCGGCCTCTCTCGTCTCCGGTCTTCTTGACTCTGTCTTGACACCGGGCTCGGGCGAGGGAGGAGAAGAGAGTGTAGGTAGATGGTGCGCAAGTCTACCGGTACTATAAACCCCTGCGTAAGTCACCGTCCCTGCTCCCATTGCTGCTGCAACTGTGGGGCACACGGTGGACATCATCGAAACCGATGGTCGAACTGTCATGCACCCTCTCTCTTTAGAAATGATGCGTTTGGCAGAAGTTGACTTCTGCCAAAAGTTGAACCCTTTGCCTGGTATGGATTACCTAAAAACTGAGAACATTGTTTATCAGAGTGGAGTATTTAGGCGTGGAACTTGTAACATTTCGATCCTCACAAGCCCCAAGCAGTGGGCATAACATCAGTAGCCTGAACGTGGATTAGTTTCTAGTGAGATAGACCTACGAAGGATCTGCCGCATCGCCCACTCACCCCCTCCTCCCTCGCCCGTCTCCCAGGCTCCGATACGGAGAGAAAGTCGGAAGGAGCGAAGAAAGACGTGGGATCAGTGACTGGCAGAGCGCCGCACAGCACGTCTGCGCGTGCCACACTCGCCCTGATCCCCGCCCCAGATGTACCCGACGCGACAGTTGTACCGTCGTTGTCGACGATCTCCACCGTGTGCTCCACAGAAGGGTGGAGAAAGGACGGTGACTTGCAAACGAATTAGTTTACAGTGAATGTGGATTTTCGCAGCGTCTAACACACTCCCTCCTCCTCCTGTCCCACCTGGATCCGATGTCGAGACAGAGTCAAGAAGACCGAGACGGGGAAGAGCGAAGGTGGCTGGCGCGGTCGAGCCCGCGCCTTGGCGCCCCACCCCACACCCTCTGGTCTGCTCAGCAAATGACCAGGATCCTAACCAACATTATAAATGAGGGAGGAGGCGGCGGAGGTCCCGGTGTGCACGACGTCGGCCGGCAACTGGGTCTGCCATCGCAGTCCCGAAGTGTTGGCATTTGTTATGGTGCGCATTCCGACAACGCCTGTCCGAATCCGATATGGGCCCCCGTGGGTCTACCCGGTGCCCCATTTGGGGATACGACGCACGCACGCACGCACGCACGCACGCACGCACGCACGCACGCACGCACGCACGCACGCACGCACGCACGTACGCACGCATGCATGCACGCACACGACAGTTCGACCGTCGTGATCGACGATGTCCACCGTGCACTCCACAGTAGAGCGAAATCAGGGACGGTGATTCAGGCGTGATTTCTTCTATACTGATGGTAAACTGGCGCCGCATCTACCGCACTCTCTCCTCCCCCGCCGGAGCCCGCTGCCAAGACATATTAGAGAAGACCGGCGGCAGGGAAGGGCGCAAGTGGCTGGCACAGAGAAAGCCCGTCCCCAGAGATACCACCACATCCAGCGGTCTACAGCACAGATCCCAACTGGCGCGGCATGAGTCCGCACCTAGGCGTGCCGCCACACCCCAATGCTAACATTTGTTACGGGTGGGCATTCCCGATAACGCTTGCCGGACTCTGATCTAACCCCCATATGGGTTCAGCGCATCTACGGCGTGGTCCATTTTAGGGGGGCAAACACAGACTCGGCCCCCTGGGTCATGTAGGGAGAATATCAAGTGGTTCAAGTGCCGGCAAGCACGCCCGCCGGTAGCCCTAGTGGGACAGGCGCCGCCGCCTCTCCAGTATAACCGGCAGTTCGATTCGGCCCTCGGGAAGCAGCGTTCTGGCTGAAGGAGTTACAACTCTCCGCAATCCGGTACAGTTCAGCATTTGCGAGTAATTTTACTCGAAGGGGGCTAACCCTCGATTTGTTAAACCATTTATACCCCCGCTAACTTCCATTACGCTCTCTGGACCGTGCTGCTACTGAAATTTTATCGTACTTACTTCTGCTTCCATAATCTATGTATTTGATTTACCAGGTTCTCACTACTGTAACACAAAGATAAGGTGCAAGTTTGCTTTGCATACGCATACTGGGGTAGGCTCCAAAAGCAGTCGTCTGGCAATATGGCGGCCAAGACCTGGAGGACCAGCAACTTGCACGTGGCGCCAGTAGGTCATAAATCGCAAGGTCGCACCAGCTGAACAGCGGACTCAGGAGCCGCTGGGGGTAAAATGAGTCTCGGAGGTAGTTAGATAGTTACGAAGGGGCTTCTCTAGGTTGCTCCAATGTCAAGCCGGTTGGAGGGGAGGGAATCTAGGGGAGGCTGCGGCTCCAGATTAGTGCAGAAGCTAGAGATTGGGACCACAAATTGAAAACCTGCCTGGACTAATTTGCTTCCTTATTTGATCCCGGCCTTGGAATCTGGCTAGTCGACTGCACTTGTTGCGGTTATGCGGTGGGAATGTGTGCAGTCTGTGCACCACCATCGTCGGGTCAGATCCCAAGTTGCAGGGAGAAGAAAGAAGGCGCCAGAATGAAGGGTTTATTGTGCACAGAAACCGGAGTTGTCCTCTCAGGCGGCAGTGGCCACTGGCGAAGCCAGGGTTGGTGCTGACTGCGTCCAGTCCGGCCTGAGAGTCACTGGGACAGTGGTGGCAGCCACTTTTATAGGCCCGTGGGCCAAACTCAAGTGGTCTCCAATCGATGTGTGTTGCATTTGCCGAGGGGTGGTGTCCCAGTGGCTTGTTTTGCTGGTTGCAGGGGGTGGCGCATTTAAGTAGCGCATGGGCAGCTGCGACTGTGCGGACGTAGGTGTGCCCGAGCTGTCGATCGTGTGACTTCAGGTCACCGCGTCAGGAACGGTTCTCTGCAAAAGGGTGGACGACCTTGAGACAGCGAGGTCTTGAACAATGGCGCCAGACCGGTTACGACGGCTGCCCGCAACACTCTCTTGCATCCAACGGCTTTGTCATCTGCACTCAGTCGTTAATCTTGCTGAAATTTAGATTTACTATTTACTGTAATGTGCTTGATGACTATGGGGGCCGAAGAAGCGAGTATCTACAGAAAGGATTGAGGCGCAAACCTGCGAAATTCCGCACCGAATGCTGTACCACAAATACCAATGGCGAACCTGACCCACTGGATCTCCATTAATCGGGTCCTACTGTGTCGAGACCTTGCCTCAATTATCGGAAGTACTCCTAAAGGAAGAAGGACGGTTAGTGTTGTTTTATGTCAAGTCTGCAACCAGAAAGATGCAAAAATGGCCAGTTTCTGAACAACAAATGACTACCCACATGGTCAGGGAGGCGGCAAGTTACGCGAAATTCCATCTCAGAGCATTGCGCATGTAGGCAGTGCCAAAAGACTATCGCGACCACTTTGATGGGTTTGCTCCATCAAATTATTTCGAACGCATTTCACGCATGCGTTATGTTCGTACAGAGTACTGCCCTCTTTTCCTCCTAATTCATTACAAATTTTCACCACTCATTATGTATTATTTCGACCGTCATTTTTTGAGCGTCCAGAGAGCAGTGCGTAAACAAATTTAACACTTAATCAACCTGTACGACGCAGACACCATAGTCACTAATGGTCTGCATGAGTGGCTAGATGTGCAGTAGAATTTTAAGGGTCAGATCTGGTTATGTAGCCACACCTGAAGTAAACAAACCCAAGCCACCTGTAATACGGGACCGGTGGTAATGGGGGTTTTTATAGGTTGGACTGGGGAACGCACAGGCGACGAGGTCAAGTAGTTGTGTGCAAAAGAAAAGCTATTGGGGATGCGTGATTGTTCTTTGAGTGGCTGAAAAGTAGTTGCCCTAACTCCTTACCCCAACCCCAACAGTATTGTGTGCATCAGGTGGGGCCACATAACCACATCTTTTCCTTTAAGAAATTGTGCTGCGTAAAGAGGGCAACGTTTTTTATGTCGGCCGACTGCCTGTCCTTTCTCAGCCATAATAATATCCACAACTGTCAGTGACCTGCTTTCCTCAGGCGCGTAGTCCTCATTACAATCCGGGGTGACCCGCAACAATTTTTACAACGATTCCTCCCCAAGAATGGTCATGTGTATCGATCTACGGAAGACAGTTATCAAGACAGGAAGATCCTCTGCGGGTCTAAAGGTTATTTTGTCTTCAGCATCGGTCTCATCTACTAGCCTAAATTCTTTAAATGTCAAAAGCAGTTTCTTTGCGTTTGACTGCCTATTTTTTGCGAAATATCAGCGGCAAGGTGTGTTGCTTGTAAAACAGTCCGCCTTCCATTAACGTCGCTGGCCTTTAAAGTTTATGTCAGCACGTGTTCCTGGTTTGTTTTAATGCTTCAATAAATAAGGATTTTTTGCGATTGAGGCTGTACCATGTGGGTGTTGTACTGACGAGAATGGCAATGTTCTCACGAACTAACGAATTATATCTCACAATCCCCTGGCCTTAAAGGCAGAAAGTAAAACTGAGCAGTGAATAATGTAGATATTTTGAATGTCAAGTAACCTGACAACAGAGCACGAGAGCAACGCAGGCCAGCAAGGCGGGTTGTACAGGTGTGTCGTTTCTTGTCACATTCAAACAAGCAATCCGTTCAAAGAAAATGTGACTAAATTATCAAACGTAAATTAATCCGATACCTCACCACAGTGCAAGGGCTAAGAGATTGCAGTGGGATGTTTCTTAAGCGACAAAGCCATTTAAAACTTTGAAGTTCACGCTGCCCAGTCCTTTGAGGAAACAGTTTGACTGGATTTTTTGCACTGGACCACAGGCGTCCACCTCTTGTTCACATTCAGCGGAAAAGAATTTGTCGACGCCGTCCTCCCCCCCTGCGACATGTCCTTCCACTTTCAGTTTTTGACATCGTCTTTGTTTTCTTAAAAAAAGACTGCTCAGTCCCCCACCTAGCCGGTCTTTGTTATGCGCCGCGCATGTTCAGTCGAGGCAGTCAACACTCTTGTGTTGGCTGAGGATTTGTAATGTGGTCCGAAAGGGCAATTCCGCCAGCTTGTGTTATAATTTTCTTTGGCATCTCGATCGTGACGTGAACTGCCTTTGTCTTGAGCCAGTCAGCCAAAACAAAGTTTTCGGTGGGCGATAGGGCTGTTGGTCTCGGCCACTCCCCCCTCCCCCATCCAGTGCCCACTGCGGACTGACCGAGTAGCGTGACTTGCAGCTGGGGGAGACCTACACCACCCCACTTGACTGGGCTTGCTTCCAGCATAAATCTAGCTGTCTGCCCAGGATAAAGCCTATCTTCCAGTCTTGGTCGGTTAGGCTGCAAGCCGACCTAGAAGCTGGGGACGGCAGACTCTCAGCTCGAAGACAAGACAGAAATGTCCACTTCTGTTCTGCAATCACGGTCCACGCGACTCTCATGTGGTTCAGCAGTCCTCATCTCATCCGACGTATCGGGGGCGCGCTACTCAAGAATTTACTGACTCGTATTCGATTCCCCCGGAGAGTTTGGCCTCCGGGGGGCTGGGACATGATTGAGTGGTGACGTAAAATGTACCAGCGGTGACACTTCCGACGCCCTTTCCTCGTTGTTAAGCCCCCCCCTTTCTATTGCTATCTCACGCCTACGAGATCGGGGCCAGTCCTGGTGTGAAAAACTGGACCACCGTGTGGAGACCAGGTCGTGTGTGACACGCGTAGACGGACCGTTTGGCTCTGTCAGCCAGCTTCCGGTTGTCCCGACTTTGTCTTGCCGCCGGCTTATGGCGGATGAGGGAGGGGAGAGTGTGGTAGATGCTGCTCAAGTCCCCTACCATTATAAAAATATTCTCGTACCATTCGCTGTCCTACGCCAGCCAAGCTGTGAAGCACGCGATGAACATTGTCGCATGCGACGGCCGGACTGTCAAAGCCCTTACGCATGGTTTCTATCCTCCCATCTTTGGTCCAAATGAACCGCTTATCCAACTAACTAAGCGGACTCTACCGTATTGCCTCCCTCCCTCCCTCGCCCTCTGTCTCTCTCCTACACTTGGTGTTCACCAAGTATCAACCAAAGTTCTGGGCTCGTTACGTCGATGACACCTTCGCTATTGTCAAATCATCTGACGTGGAGCCCTGTAAAGAATTACTGAACTCGGTTGA